GTAACAATATTGTCTTTGCTTGCAAGGCTCATTATATAAATTGTATTTTAGAAGATTTGTTTTACTTCTACAAGTGGCAATCCTACTTACGTATACTCATAGTTCCCTTTCTAAGGAAGAAATTCTTCAAAATCATATTTCAGTTTTGAATGCTAGTATTTTTAATATCCCAAAGAACCAAAATGATTTTGAACTACCATACAGCTCAACGCACTTTTTAAGCTCACATGGTTTTTCGCATAATTAAGGTCACATTGTTATAATGTAATATTGTGTATCAAGACAACAAAATACATTTTTAAAGTATTAGTTTATATAATTTGAATTAAATTAGAATTAGAATTAAAAAAAACAAACAATACTTCATTATCCTACCCTTTAGTGTGGTTTCTTTCTGCAATGTTATCCCTTTTCGGCGCTACATTTCGACAAAACCGAGAAGAGTATGGTAAATGAGCAAAGATTTTTAAAAAACACTCACCTTGAAGAATAAAATTTAAAATTTTCAACTATATAGTATCAAGGAAAACTCGTTTAATACAATTTGTAAAAATCTATGGTAGAAACGTATAGTAGAAACATCCTACCATTTATTTATAAATTCCCCTTTAAAGCATCAACATTGGAAACTTAAGATAAGAATTTTAAAGACATTTATGCTTGACATTATATATGTAATATAACGAAGGGCTATGTCATTGTACTGCAGTTCGTAAATGGTAATTTTTATAACAACAGTTTGACCTTAATTTGTGCGAAAAACCATGTGAGCTTAAAAAGTACGTTAAGCTGTATATATATTGGACAACCGAAACTTAATAAGAATCCTTACAAAAAAGATACATATCGGGTTCCAGTAAATGTTCAACCATGCCTCACTAAGATGTTAACAGAAGTGAAGGAGAAACTGCATGCAAGAGTACTGTGCAACAATATATTCAGGAAGTGGTGTGAATCAGATATGGATAGTTGAAAATTCCAAGGAACTTTGATAATTTGAAATCACACGAGTTTACTAAAATCAACAGCTTTTCAACTTTATACACAACCATTCCCCACGATAAATTAAAGTTCAGGCTTTTCGATATCATTGACAGCTGCTTTTTCAATTAAAAAAAAAGCATTCTGATTGTACACACAAATACTCTGAAGTCGACATCAAAAAGATGCTTGAGTTTCTTATTGACAGTAATCTATATGGTTTTTTTCAATCGCCTATAAAATATTAATTGATTGATGAATTTATTTAGAAATTTGAAGATAAAAACACTTTTGAGAATTTATGCTAAAAAATATTTTAATTTTGGTCAACTTGACCTCTACAACATGTACATTTTATTATAAAATAAAGATTTCGACTTTAGCTTAAGATGTTTCATGATCCCGGGGTCTGTCTTCCAACAATCTATTGGAATTCTCATGGGTACCCATTGCGCCCCGTTATTAGAAGACATATCTTTTATTCATATGAAGCAGACTTTCTGTAAAATCTTAATTCCTTGGTGCTTAAATATCAGAACTCCCTGCATGGATACAAATTGCAATTGCTTTATTTTCACACAAAATGTGAATACTTAAGACACATGCTGTACTGTGAGATCTAGAACGTTTTCCTCGAAGGTACATGTTTTGTTTTCACCATTGTGTTGTTTTTCTACTTCACAGAATTCAATGAGAAAATAATCAAATTTCTTCTGTGCTAAATTGCTACCCTCGTAAAAAGCATTCAGAATGAGAAAACTTACAACAACTATAAATTTAAGCAGCATGAATAAATATAACCGTATTCTTTCTGTTGAATAAAAAATAGTCATTTACTTTGGAAATGTCTTTAAGGAGGGCTATGAAAAAAATTCAAATGCAGATCTTGATGAATGATATTTCTTAATATATCAAGATTATCTGAGGACGTAAAAAGGCAACTTTCTAGCTTTACGCCAAATTTTGACTCAATCAGTTTCATAAACTAATTTTTGTTAAGCTTATATTTAATATAATGAAAAGAATTAAAGTAACCTCGCGAAGTTTCAATGCCTTTATCTTGCTCTCAAACAACAAGTTTTATATAGTGACCTTTAGGGAGACGTTTTTGATAAAGCACAACGTGTCTGTAATTGATATGTAGTTGAAATTTGTTTATCTTTTGAAAACCCTTCACAAAATGAAGGTAAGCATTTCATTATTGGTCGCCAGGACTAGAATCAATCCGATTGGCTATTTCGATTCTATCCAGGAAGAAACTTGTTCAAATATAGTTCTAAAGAAAAAATTAAAAATATCATTCATGTTTACCATGTTCAATCATTTCATGTTATTTTTTCATAGTACCAAGGGACTTGATAATTTTAGTCTCTTCCTTCTTGCGTTACGCATGATTTTTTATTTTCTATTTCAAAATAAACATGAAGTTCCTTATATTAAACCTTGTGTTGTACCTGATATTGATTCTTAGGCGTTTAATTTTTTAAAACTCATGTTAGTGTGCTTAATCTTCCTTGTTTTTACCTTTTTTTTTTATAAAACAATGATAGTCCATATAATGGTGTACTAAAATATATTGTGTACATACCTCTAATACCCTCTAGAAGTCCATCTTTGCTCAACTCCACAAATTCAAATGTTTTAATGTTTTTGGGGCAATAACAAGTTACGGATGGAAGTGATATCTTAAATTTTACCTTTTACCTGGTTTATAGCTAAACCAAAAAAAAAGTGCAAGCAAATTTGATTTTGTTTCGAAAAAGGTCTGAGTTTTCCTTCAGTTTAATATAAATTTGTAAATTGGGACAAATATTTGTGACGGAGGTACAATTCTTAAAGAAAACAATTTTTAAAGATCCTATAGAAATTAAATCAACTCATAAGAAAAGGAGTTGATTACATTCTTCGCATTAGATTTTGTTTCTAAAAACAATTCATATTTCGGAATGAATATTTGTACTGGCTTATATTTCCATTTCTATTTGTCTTTATGCGATATCTCTTTGAAAATTAGTGAAGTGAAGTTGATTTCTTGATAATTCTACCGGAATATAAATCAGACAAATCAATAGGCCAGGAGCTAAGGAGGTCTTATATACATGTAAATCTCCTGCACGTCTGTCTTTATGTCTGACGCTAAGAAGGCCTAATATGCATGTAAATCTCGTGCAGCTGTCTTTGCGTTTGACGTCAGTGGGCAAGGACTATTGAAATTGACATAGAAATAATTGAAACTCATTAGTTTTTCAAAACAAAATCTACAATTTATTTCACATTGAAATGGAGATATAGGGAATCATTGTATAGTTAGTATAGTATACCAGGAACATCAACGATAGTGGGAAACGTGGGATAATTCCAACGTTTCCCACTGTGATTGATGCCCTGGCATTCTAAACTAACTAGACAGTGATTTCTTAATTATAAACTGAATTGTTTTAACGAACATAAATCATTTGCCAAAGAGCATTTGCGTATGCTCATTTTACACAGGAGTACCTTAAAGTATATTTAATAGGATTATAGAATTCCTCAAAACATCGAAGTATGCAGTCTTTGATAGTAGTTCTTCTAACAAACCAATGGACTCATTCTGCTATTAACTTTCATTGTTTGTAATTTTTTTTTTAGAAACATCTACATAAGAAGAGAACACCGAATACGGAATGTCCTTTCTACCTGATCAATACATAAGGTTCACGGCCAGTGTGCCCGGTCAACAGGGGGTGTTTACTACTCCAAGGCACTTCCAAAAAGGATTGACTGTCCATGTTTTATGCTTTGATTAGATATTTGTAATGTTTATTGGTTTTTTATAACGATCATGGTTTGTTTCCTTGCAATTTCATTGATAAAAAAAAATGTGTTGGAAATTAGACTTTTTTCTGCGCTATTCGACTGGAGTAGGACAAGACCCGTGTTCCAATCCAGAAAGGAATTACATGGGATGTAATTGAATGAATCTCCAAAGATTTTTCTGTGAAAGATTTCCAACCCTAATAGAAACAAATTTTCTACCCTTAAATGTACAACAAGTGTGAATAATTCTCTGATATTAAATTAAAGCATTTAATAGTAGAAAAACATTTATTGAGAGAAAGTTTTAAAATTTTAATTAATCAAACATCAAAATCTGTGGGGAAATGTAATTTTTTTAAAAAAAATGAAATTTAAAATAACAAGAATATCATTCAAAACTGTGGTAGAAAGAAGCAGTGAAACACTGGAATTAGAATGACAATTGAAAACGATTGTTTTTACCAGATCTTAAAACTCATTTTGTGAGTGCAATCAGAATAATTTAAAAATAATTTAGCAAATGACCAATGACAAAATGAGTATAAATTTACAAGTTCCATTTTTAAAAGTAAAAGCAGCTGTATCAAAATATCAAAAAGCTTGCACTTAAATAAATTGTTGGCAATGATTGTGTATGAAAAGCCGTTAGTTTTTCAGCTGTTGATTTTGGTAAAATCTTGTGCTTTCAAGATTTCTAAAAGTTCTTTTGAATTTTTAAGTATCCTCATCTGATTTACAGCACTTCTCGATAATACTGTTGCACTGTACTCTTGAAGTTTCTCATTCATTACTCTTAATATCTTGGTGATGAGTAAAGAGAGAGGCCTGGTTGAACATTAATTGGAACCCACTGTGTATCTTTTTACGATGTTTCGGAATCATATATATATATATATATATATATCGTAGTTCAAATTCATTTTAATTGTTTGGAAAATAAAAAAAAAAATATTCAAAACAGACATATATGATTTTAACAAAGTTCCTTTGAAAGGAAACTATGGGTATAAGTTGGATTAAAACTGGTAGAATTAAATTCAAGGTCTTCTAAAATACATGGAGATAACGAACAGTATTTACAGCATAAATTTCACTACGTCACTAAGCTCTGATTGATTAGGTCACCTGTTTAACGATAACTTATCAGCATATATAAAAGGAAAGCAAATTTTAAAAAAATAACCAAACACTTATACCACCGTTCTATGACCGAGGTTAAAATGACTCTCATTTTTCTAATTCCAACGACTTCTGTACTTTTTTTCATCCACTGTGCCTCCCTTGGTAAGTTGATAGCAAAAACATATTAAGCATTTTTTTACACGTGGATTGAACAGCAACATTTATTTAATAGAATTTTGATTCCGAGGAAAAAATAATGTTCACTATTAAACTTAACAGAAAGTTGATTTATCTATACGCAGTAATATATTAAGAAATAATAAGCAACCTAGTGTTTAAAAAGAAAAAAGATAGAAAAGATTTGCTGTTATTCATGTTTGTCACAATTCGTATTAATATTAAAATAGTATGTTTCATGTTTTGATATAGAAACGTTGTTATGAAACACTTTTGTAAAAGTAGAATGTTACTTTGTCAAGCTCTGGTAATGTTTATAGTATCTATAAAAAGTATGATTATGCAATTTTTTCCCAAGATGCTATTACTGTACCTGGAGAAATATCGAATGATGTTGCCAATCAGTTCTTAACTAGATATAGGCGTAGTGACTCTAGATGTAACAGAGATGAGACTTACTGTGAAACTAACAAAATTAGTTGTATGGTGAGTAAAATCTAGTAACAGTAGCATTTCTTTTAGTAATAATGTGCTTACTTTAGGAATTATCAATAATGTAACGACGACGTCTTAAGTGAACCTCAAGTTATCCCTTATTCCTACGTCTTACAAAAATACTACTGTTACTTGCATCAGTTCCATGCAATAAATTAAGAGAAAAAAACTTTCCATACACTGTTGATTGAAAAGAAAAACTGATATACCTTGTAAAGATAATTCTGCTGAGGCTTCAAGTTAAGATTTATTTAAATGTTTTCTTTAGCAACACAACGAGAACTCCAGGGAATACTACTGTGGCTTGAATAACCCATGTACCTCAGGGCAGACTTGTTACCTATCAACTCCTTGTCCAGCACATTACCGGACTGGGTGCACAAGTAGGACCTATATCATGTATATCTAGAAACACAATAATACTTATTTATTTTAAACTTTTTAAATCATTTTTAATACATCAATAAATTATTCAAAGCTTTTACTATACAAATGACGAGAAAGGAGTAATTCTCGGTTTCAAAATATAATACTTATCTGTATTGGAGTTTTATTTTCTTCCGCTAATGATCCAGGTTATCGAATTTGGTAAAATAAAATGCTTTATTTTTACGAAGAAAATGTATTCTAAAGCAATTTTTCTTTCAGTTATAAGTGAGAAACTCTTAAACGAATCTAATTTTTGTATCTCTTAACATTTTAAAATATCTTTTTTTTATTAAAAGAAGCATGTAAAATGTGCAAATAATTGGGATGAAAATAAATTAAAGTGATATGTTTATTTTTATTCACTTTATATTCTTTTGCATATGGTTACTTAGAAACCTTTGAGAAATGAAACCCATTTACACCTATGTTATACGATATAAATTTGTTTGCACTTGTTACATGTAATATTCTTGTACAAATTATATGAAAGTATTTTCAAATAGACAGCAAGTTGATAAAATGTTTCTACTCTATATCCTTCTTTATGACTGAAATGTATATGAAATATAGATTTATAATTAACTTGGTTTAGATAACGCTTGTTATGGACAACCTTGCCAGCATGCAGGTACATGCACACTGGAATCGTCTGTTAAAGGATACAACTGTCGTTGTTTAAGTGGCTATGACCCAGATACAGATTGTAGATCATGTGAGTTTATATAGCAATTATGATTTCTTTTAACACGATCTTGGGCCTAACATTTTCTTAAATGAAAGCCTTAGGTAGTTGGTATTTTGTATTTACAATTATGCAACTTTTAATTTTTAAAACAAGCAGTTTCATTTTTAAAACACATGTATTTTGTTTCTATATATATCCTTTTCAGTTTGTTTTGAGTAAACACACGTACAAGTTCTTTGTGCCTCATTTATTTTTTTAAATTGAAAGAGTATTTTTCAAAAAAAAAAAATAAATAAAATTGTCAAAATTCAAACAGTTTGTTGACTTATTTGAAATTTTGTCAAAATATACGGAACGTTTAGCTTTTAACCGTGTGAACATCAAAACATTTGATAAATAACATAAAAAGTTAAGTTTTTTCCAAATGGAAATCCTATACCTGTATCTCAAAGAATTTTTACTACGTGAATGTACAAACGCTTCTATAACATACCAAAATAATCATTACAGATATAGACTACTGTAGGAGCAATCCATGTCAGAATGGAGCGTCGTGTTCTCCGGGACTGAATGGTTATACCTGTACTTGTCTGCCTGGATACAATGGTGCCCATTGTGAAAACAGTTAAGAACGAATATACATGACGTTTTTACTTTTCATTCTTTTAAAATAAGGTATTGATTTTTCTGTCAAAGGACATTATTTTAATGAGGACAACTTATATTTTAAGTTTAAGACCAAGACTTGCCTCAAAAAAGCCCATTCAGCTTTATTGTGGTAATTTTTTTTTTCCAAAATGTTTTGCACTAATATTCTGCATTCAATTTCAAAAAAAAAAAACGAATTAAGAAGAGTTTGACCGAAAGTAATATACATGTACTTCGAAGACCTTCTCCTAAATTTTCAGCACATTGCCTTTAGATTTTCATTTTTAATATACAGAAAACAACAATTAAAACATAAAATTCATATATCTTCAATATCTTGTATTTATTAATAATAAATTTATAAAAATATACTGTAGACGTACTTTTTTTCACGGGGTCATAATTCCGCGAAATCGCAATTTCTGTTTAATCCGCGGGTAAAAAATTACGCGGATTTTCTAGATTTTCACTATATGCCTTACATTGATATTAAAACAAATTTCCGCGGAAAATTTGTGACCGCGTACATAGTGTAAATTAATACCACGCGGAAAAAAGTACTTCTACAGTAATTAACAAAGTTTGGCATAATGAAGTGTTCCTGCGTTTCGTGATAAAAAATGTTCAATTTGGATTAAAACTATAATTTTAATTTGCGTTTGCTAGACATAACCTTTATGAAATACATGTATAAAGAGATAACGAACGGTATTCAAGATCAAAAGTACATAAAGCAATACATAATAGGAGCAGAGCAAACACGGACCTCCAAAACATCAGAGGTGGGATCAGATGCCATGGAGGAGTGACCATCCCCTGCTGATCGGTCACACCCGCCGTGTGCTCCTTGTCATGTCTGGAAATAACGAAAAAATCCGTCGTCAATTCATGTATAAATAATGCACTTACAATTAGTATGAAAAAGCCAGCCAGCATTTGACTCAATGATAAATTGTATTTGCTGACAAGTGCATTGTATCGACCAAAGATTTACGAAATGATGAATATAAACGAGACTGATGATATTCTTGTTTCATCAACTTGTTTGTCAATAATTTACTTCGTTTTAGAAATTGGTCATACGTAGAGCATGCTTGATGTGTTTCATTACAATTACATCTGCATCTTACAAGCATTTGACTCGATGATAAATTGTGTTTGCTGACAAGGTCATTGTATCGACGAAATGATGCCTTTAAACGAGACTGTTGATATTCTTGTTTCATGAATTGCTTGTCAATAATTTATCTGGTTTAGTAATTGTTCATACGTAGAGCATGCTCTTGCGTATCGAATCAGCTGGGATATATAAACTCTGGGATGTATAATTCTAGAATCAAAATTCTATGGAATGATAAATCATCAGAAATTATAGTAAATTAATGAATTCCATTTCAATTTACATACAGATATAAATGAGTGTGCGAGTTCGCCGTGTATTCATGGTAGATGTGCAGATCATGTCAATAAATACACGTGTACCTGTGATCCGGGGTTTACCGGAACAAACTGTCAAACAGGTGAGGGACTTAAAATTGCCATTAAAGTCTTTTCTGGGATTTATACGTGAATCTGCATTTCTTGGTCATACTCTTGATCTTAGGAGAAAACGTGTTTATTTTGAAATATCGTGAATTGCATTTAAAAAATGATATAACGAGATTAACGTATTTAAGTAAAGCCTTCTACAACGTTAAGATTTCCCGAAGCTTTAAATGCGTTCAAATCATAACACTGCATTGGAAGGTGCATTTTGACTTTTATTCGTGAGTTATTGGATGGGTTAATATAAAATATAAAACTTATTTTGTCATCGTGAAACGAAATATATTTTTTAAAAAAACACAAACTGACCCAATCCAGCCTATACTCGAATACTTTGGCCAAGAATATAGCCATTCCTTATAATTTAATTTCAAAATGATTAAACTATGGGGGTAAAATTTCGTTACTTCTTATTAATTTAAATTTGCCTTTCAATAATACAACCATAGAAAGCGAAGTGATGAGAAGCAAGGGGAGGAAAAAACTGAAACAAAGGCCTAGAACCATGTTATTTGTAGTTGAAATAAGGTATGAAGTTAAACACTCTTACCGTCACAAGAACTCAAGTTTACAGTGAATTTGTGTCATTTACAATTATGAATTTACACATTTGTAGTTCAGAGAGTACACTGTGATATTCAATTGGAAGCCTTAACATTTCTGTGTGAACCAGGTTATATTGAAATAAGGCAACAATACATCGTGGCGTAGACTTTTGAAAGGTTTTCAACGAAATTTCTACTTTTGTTTTTATGACAATACGATTCATCACAAATGAGAAAAAACTAGATATACAGAATTTCCTTATGGACCTTCCTTTTTAAGAACCCTGTTATACAGAAATCTGACTAAAACTGCTAGAGAAGTAGCCTTTCGAAGGAGTAAAGAAATTTTTAAGTGATAATGGCGACACTAACATAAAAAAAGAAGAAAGAGCATAATATCTTATGATGTTTACTAGTGAATCAATTTATATTAAAATAAGACATCAATTAAAAAGGTAGAGCATGTTGAAAAAAACAATTAAAATAGTAGATGAGGTGATATTGTGAATCAAAAACCGATGTCAAGAATTGTGTATCTTCGAATTATAGACTTGATTAATGATTGATATTGAGATAAAACTAAAATTGTAGATGGAGTAACGATTTGATAGAGATTCACTTATGTTTTTACTGCTTTTTAGTATCTTAGCAGCGATGTTTATCAAAAAAAAAAAAAAGAAAAGAAAGAAATGCAAAGGAATACATTTAAACGAAAAGTAAATTAGTTATCAAGTCAAATTTAAATCGATCTTAAATTGTTATTACTAAATTATTATTATTATTATTATTATTATTAATTTGTAACAGGAATATTCCTTCAAAATTTTACAAAAAAAATTGTATTTGATAGCAATTGCCATGACAAAATGTTCAACGAAATCAAAATCTGATACACAGAGAAATAGATCAAGCGGTAAACTATAAGACTCCCCTGATATGATGGCATCAGACTTTAATTGTAGAAGTATGATAGAAATTGAACGATATAAGTATAGTCTACTTATGTACTTAATTTGAGAAGTAACATTCATTCATAAAATAAAAACAAACATTCGTTTAAACAATCTTAAGAAAACATAGGGAAGCCTTTCAGTCACATTAGCTCGTCAGGTCTCTGAATTGCTTATAATGCAGTCTAGCTCCCTTTATAAGATTCTGAGATTCTTTTCTCAAATCTGGGCAAAAATCCAATGTGACATCAATTTTTTTTCTAAAGCTGTATACATCAGGGAATGTGAATCAATTTGAATTCCTTTCTATTTACATACAGATATAAACGAGTGTGCCAGTTCGCCGTGTATTCATGGTAGATGTGTAGATTATGTCAATAAGTACACGTGTACCTGTGATCCGGGGTTTACCGGAACAAACTGTGAAACAGGTGAGGGACTTAAAATTGCCATTAAAATTTTCTTTTTTATTTTATCCATGAATGTGCATTTACGGTTTTTCAATTATCACGAGAAACTGTCTATAATTTGGAAATTGAATTATTGAATATTACTTAGGAAAATAATTTATATTACTAGACAGAGTCAATATCTAGGGTCTGGAAGATAGATTTATTTGGTGAAGAAAAGGTTTTAACGAAGAAGTCAAGAAATAATCATCAAATTGTGCATATTCTGGAAAAGAAAAATATTCTTATTTAGTACATACCTTTTTTGTTTTACCCTGTCTTTTTGTCTGCTACTTTATTAATTCTTCAAATTCTAATGTGAAGAATTGACAATAATTGAATTGGATTAAGAATTTTTTTTTCAAATTAGTATAAACATGAAATCTAAAGAATACATTTTATATTTGTGTGACTTGTTTTGCTAGAATTATCTTTCTTTTTACTAACAGTAAAGTCATTTTCTTTTTTCGTATACTATTGACACAGATATTATATTAACCAAGAATGCAAATGTAATATAATGTGAAGTTACCTTCTTTAGGCATCAAATGTAATAAAATGTGAAGTTTACTTCTCTAGGCATCAAAAGTAATAAAATGTGAAGTTCACTTCTCTACGCATCGGGTCCGAACTTGATGGCTCTATAACGGCTGTTTATCTTTTCTCTTTTTGTGATTCATAGTGTTCATAGGATATAGGAAAAAGACCACTGTTCGTTATTTTTTTTTCTTTCGTTTAATTCGCTGAACTCAAACATTTCTTTTCTATTTTCACAATTTAATTTTTTATATCATATTAGACATCGACGAATGCCAGAGTTCACCATGTGTTCATGGTAACTGTTCAGATCACGTGAACATGTACACTTGTGAATGTCAGCTTGGATACACAGGATATAACTGTGAAACAGGTGGATATCTTTATAATGAAATTTCTTGTCATTGTACACCATTTAAAAACAAACTTAAAATCACCCGGACGGTACATATTACTTGTTTTTTTTTGGGGGGGGGGAGGGGGGAGGTTCCACTATTTAAAGCTTTAACTATCGATAACAATGAAATAATTTTTTTTTTAAATCAATTCATTATAAATATTTTTATAGAAATCAACGAATGTATAAGCTCCCCGTGCATTTATGGACAATGTGTCGATGAAGTCGCTAAATACACATGTACTTGTGACTTTTTATACGTTGGAAATCGTTGTGAAAAAGGTAATTGCCGTACTTAAAAAAACAATCACACTATTGATAGAAAAAAAAAATTGTATTATATAGCTCGATTTTATAACTTGTACCCTGTTGAATTTTTTTAGTGAATGCAACATACATAATAACCATAGTGCTAGGACTTTTGGGAATCATAGCGACTTTACTTGGATTATATATTATGTGGAGAAAAAAGAAGTAAGATTTGTTATGCTCTGTTTTCAAACTAGCAATCAAAAACATATTGTCTTAATCTATATAATAAGGTATCCAGTGTATGTATATCATGTAAAAAAACATTTCAGAAAGCAGACAGATTCTACGCCACCTTTCCCGTTTGAAAACATGAAACTTGGACAGACGAAATCCCAATTTTCACGAAATGCAACACAGATTGTTAAGACTATCCCGCAACCAGATCCCGTCTTATTTCCGGATGGAAATCTTGGACAGCCAAAAATAATTTTCAGCAGCAGATAAACAATACTTCTGTTCATAAGGAAGACTTCTACTTGTAATTAAGTACATGTTTTTGATAACTACATTTTAAAACATTGAAAAAAAAGTTTAAAAACTCTCAAGATTCTAATAGTCAAACATATAAAGGAAAACGATGTTCAAGTGGTTACTTGTGTCAATAAGTTTGCTTTTTCTAAACAAATGTTATTTTAAGACGAAAAAATGCAGTCTGTATGTTATTATATATGTAGGTACTTGAATCATTATTTTAAAAATTATTTATTATATGCATTCAGAAGCCCTTAAAGAACTAGTGTGGCTAAAAAGAGTATTTTTTTTAAAGCAGTATAAACATTTTATTGGAAATTTAAGGAAAAACACAAGGGCTAAGGATAAAAGTTCTTAGATAAGCATTTTGACCCATGGATCTTGTGCTCTATCTTTTATTTGTAAATGTCTATATGCTAACAAACTTTGCCATATAACTCAGTTTTAATGGAAAGATCTGTGAAAAAATGAAGATAACATATAATCATTAAAAAATCAAACAGACAATGCCAAAACCATACAAGACCAAGTACACGTAACGGTCCCCTGGAAGCATCATCGACGACAGCAGATACACATGAGGCATACGCCCCTATAGACCTAAACTCTCTGGACTGATAGGGATATACTGTAGTCAAAACTAGTTTTTAAAACTTTAAATTGGATTTATAGTTAAAACAAAAGGAATTGAACATTTCATGATAACATTTCATGATCATTTACAAACAAGATTCTTTAGTTAACGAGATTGAGGGCGAGACTTGCCGAGCCCTCAATCACGTTTTTGACCCGAACTCAAATATTGCTTTCATTTCAAGACAACGACCATGTACATTTTGTTTATCCTGCAAAATATATTTACATCTGACCTCCAAAATGAACTATTTTCAACCCGATTGAGACACATCTCTGCAGAGGAAACTAAAAGGCCATTGCGTATACATTGCAAATATACGTGACGTCACAATGCTTTTCGAGCGTCGGAATACATGCATGAGGCTTTATTAGGACATTGTCCGAATAAAGCTTTAGTTTATTAGGTTACCTTTATTAGGTCAAAGCAAGGGGTAGTTGCAGGATAAATTATATATGTAATGCTACCATTGAAAAAAAAATGCAAGAATTAGATGAATTAAACATATTTGAAGGGATTTGAAAAGGTAAATTATTGAAAGATAAGTTGAAGAAACCAGGATACAAGAAGACTCGTTTAAAGACATCCTTTCTCAAGTACTATTGTTGATACAGTGATATTGTCAGCAAATACAATTCATCGCTGAGTCAAATGCCGACTGACTTCTTTCATACTAATTTATAGGCCATTATTTACACACTGAATTGACGACGGATGGATTTTCAGTTAGTTTTACATTTTATTGGAAATTTAAGGAAAAACACAAGGGCTAAGGATAAAAGTTCTTAGATAAGCATTTTGACCCATGGATCTTGTGCTCTATCTTTTATTTGTAAATGTCTATATGCTAACAAACTTTGCCATATAACTCAGTTTTAATGGAAAGATCTGTGAAAAAATGAAGATAACATATAATCATTAAAAAATCAAACAGACAATGCCAAAACCATACAAGACCAAGTACACGTAACGGTCCCCTGGAAGCATCATCGACGACAGCAGATACACATGAGGCATACGCCCCTATAGACCTAAACTCTCTGGACTGATAGGGATATACTGTAGTCAAAACTAGTTTTTAAAACTTTAAATTGGATTTATAGTTAAAACAAAAGGAATTGAACATTTCATGATAACATTTCATGATCATTTACAAACAAGATTCTTTAGTTAACGAGATTGAGGGCGAGACTTGCCGAGCCCTCAATCACGTTTTTGACCCGAACTCAAATATTGCTTTCATTTCAAGACACCATGTACATTTTGTTTATCCTGCAAAATATATTTACATCTGACCTCCAAAATGAACTATTTTCAACCCGATTGAGACACATCTCTGCAGAGGAAACTAAAAGGCCATTGCGTATACATTGCAAATATACGTGACGTCACAATGCTTTTCGAGCGTCGGAATACATGCATGAGGCTTTATTAGGACATTGTCCGAATAAAGCTTTAGTTTATTAGGTTACCTTTATTAGGTCAAAGCAAGGGGTAGTTGCAGGATAAATTATATATGTAATGCTACCATTGAAAAAAAAATGCAAGAATTAGATGAATTAAACATATTTGAAGGGATTTGAAAAGGTAAATTATTGAAAGATAAGTTGAAGAAACCAGGATACAAGAAGACTCGTTTAAAGACATCCTTTCTCAAGTACTATTGTTGATACAGTGATATTGTCAGCAAATACAATTCATCGCTGAGTCAAATGCCGACTGACTTCTTTCATACTAATTTATAGGCCATTATTTACACACTGATTTGACGACGGCTGGATTTTCAGTTAGTTTTTTATCTTGACAAGTAGCAAACGGCGGGTGTGACCGGTCGGCAGGGGATCTCAATCCTACATTGCTCCTAATCCCACCTCTGATGTTTTGAAGGTCCGTGTTTGCTCTGCCCTTATTTTGTATTCTTTTATGGACTTTTGATCTTGAAGACTGTTTGCCCTTGTTATGTTTCATTTTTTTGGATCATCCTCAAATTTTTGTTCAGGATATTTATTAGCTCTGTATTCGGTTCATCAAATTTCTAACTAAGTTCGACTTTCTACTATAGGCTGCATATCGGAAAATCCTGTCATATATGAGTTATCTACCGTGTATACATCTTTTTCTCTGTTAGAGTTCTGATTGATGATTTGCAGCTTTAGCTGTTTTAGGACAATAACACTATACAGACTAAAGAAAACAGCAGCTAAAACACCAATCAGAGTAAACACTGCGATGACTAGATCGGCGGTTAAGCTTCTATTGTTGTTGTTGCTGTTTTGAGTGCAGATGTTCTCAGTCAGCAGACGGCCTAGAAATAGAAATTTAAAGACCTAAAAGTATTGGAATGGTGCAGACTAATATTAAATTTTGTTGGAAGAAAACAAAAAAGTGATTATTTTTCTAAATTAATTTTGACAGATAAGTTTTAAGCATAATCCTTTGTATTGTATTTATCTAAGCTACGTAAGCACAATACATGTGGTACCACGTGGTATTTTTTACTTTGGAAACTCCAAATTTAATCTTAACTTGTCCATTTTCCTTGTTGCCATTTTCAACTTTGAACTAGGTAGTCAATTACCCTGTATTGCTGGCTTTATTTCGGGATTTCCTTGAGATGTTAACGATGTGGTGCTTGAGGGAGCAGTTGTTGAGATTTTTGGTTTATTTGTTGATGATTGCCCTGATTCAAATTGAAAAGTATGTAATAATATGAAAAAATTCAAGACAAGAAGTCATTTTACATTCTTTTTTTATGCTGAAGGAGGCCGAGTCTAATTATTTCTACACTAGATAATATGATAAACTTTTTTGTGCGAATTTTTACTTTTACATTTTACACATCGTTTTAATAAAATCATCGAATGTTTACTATCCGGATATCGGGCTGGAGTACGAAGCGAGAATGGGAACGGCCGCGGACTGGGCGAGACCCGTCAAACGGTCGAGCTCGGATCGTCGGTCTAACCCGTCTCGTGGACTGATAGGAGGCATCTAAAAAGAAGTTAAATTATAACATTTTCCCTATATTTTTTGTGTAGGGTAAGGGTTATGATTAGGACATGTTTATATATCGGTGCAGATGAATGATTTTCAATTGGTAAAAATAACATTTATTTTTATTTCTTGTGTGTTTCTTCAAATGTTCTGTCAACAGTTTTAAGTGAAATGTGAAATGTCAAAGGACGTCTTGAATAATCTAGCGAGTCATCTGTCATTTTTAGTGCCATGCATTGCTTACAGAACCGTAAAACAGTGACGTCGTTAGTGCCACTTCAATGTTTATTCCTAAATTATTGTCTTGATAACAGCTTTGTATAAAAATTCCGCAAAAACCGTAAAGGTGTTATGTCGTACCTACGACTGCATCAAATCAAAAAGCTGCACAAAGGCATTCGCAGTCTAATTAGACTCGGCCTCGTTAAAGTCAAATGCATGAAATTATGACATGCACAACAGAGATCATATCCATCTTCACAGTTATGAATTCGAATCATGCGCTTTAATGTAAAGATTAATATACAGAATAACTTATACAAAGAAACATAATAATATACATAAATAGTAATGTAATAATACGTAGTAGTAATAATAATAAATGCTCAAAATAAATGTAGATCGAATTCCTTCTGCGAATTGAATTTATTTAGATTGTATGGAGGACTTTTATTAGTAATTTCAGTTAAGTGTGAAGTTTGGCATTACGTCATGATCTTTTTCGACAGATGCATCCAGCGTAAACAATTCAGCCGCCGCTGTGTGATTGGTCAACTCATATTATCAACATTGACACGGAAATAGTCTGTTGCACGAGCAACCAATCAGGGATTAGAAGAAACTTCCAGTCGTAAAACTTGCGGTTAGGAGGCTTGTTCACTTAACTGAAATTACTAAAAAAAATCTGTATGATTGTCTCAATTATTTTCCTAATCAAAAAGATAGATGTGTTGCAGTTTATACGTTACTCTGTCTCTTGATGCGTAAAGGATAGCATATGATCACTTCTTACCACAAACAGGTATGTTGCATCTTTCCCATCTTTTACCGGGAGCTGTAGACAAACACCAGGGAAATTCTGCCCCATCCGGGATCTGCAATAATTTTCTAACTCTCCAAAAACTGCATAAGCCTCTTCTGAATCCCAACGTCGGCATGCGTAACCCGTCTCTGTGATAGCAATTTTTCCCGTGTACATAAATCCGCTACCCTTTTCATAACAATCATCATTTGTAATGGCTAAATAAAGGAAAATGAAATATAAATAAAAATCACAACAATAACTCTAGGTATACAAATATTGTAGATTAGGAGTTGATTTCTTAATGTTGAAAGTTCTAAGTTC